TATGTGTAAGCACACAGGTTCTTAGCTTGTTAGTCTAGCTTGTTCAGAATTAATTAGTGAAGCCTATGTATTGCATCACAGAATTGTTGTTTGACTATTTAAATAATAAATAATAGAAATGTTTATGTGTTTGAACTGACCCACCAAACACAATTTAAGTCCAAGGAGTGTAATCTTCAAGCACAGCAATAAACATTTAAATAAATCACTGCGTGTGTGTCTGCTTTATATTGCTTAATTGAATGTTAATTGTGTGATAACACAGTTTTGAGATTGGTCTATAGACATCAGGGTTATTATAGCAACTAAAAAACGAAAACCCACAACAACAACAAAAGTTACTTACAATACATTACATTATTAAACTTATTTTATTTAAACTTTTCTCATTTGTATTTCCAGGGTTATTATAGCAACTAAAAAACGAAAACCCACAACAACAACAAAAGTTACTTACAATACATTACATTATTAAACTTATTTTATTTAAACTTTTCTCATTTGTATTTCGTTTAACATAATGTACTAAATAGATAAAAATGTATAAAAACTATTTTAAAGTACGAATAAAGACTACAAAACCATACAAACTTTGTATATAACAAAATGACTTTTATTATTAGTTTTACCTAAACTTGAAATCAAAACAGAAAATCTAATAATAGAAACTAATTCAAACTATTAATAAAAACTATAATAGTATCTCAATGATACTAAAACATTGAAAGACATCCACTGTATTCATCTAATAAAACTTTGAGCAGTGCAGGAGCTTTCTAGAGCAACTGGAACATGCAAATAGACATCCTTCCAAACTGGGTCCTGGAGGGCCGGTGTCCTGCAGAGTTTAGCTCCAGCCCTAATCAAACACACTTGAACCAGCGAATCAAGCTCTTACACGTGCTAGAAAGTGAGGCGAGTTGGAGCTAAACTCTGCAGGACACGGCTCTCCAGGACTGAGTTTGGAGACCCCTGCTGTAGATGAACATTATAACAATTATGTTAGTCCCTCACACATTTCCATTTCTCAGATCTATAGAACTACATCATTGCTTTTGGATGGAAAATGGATTTTATAACCGTTATAACAATTATGTTAGTCCCTCACACATTTCCATTTCTCAGATCTATAGAACTACATCATTGCTTTTGGATGGAAAATGGATTTTATAACCGTTATAACAATTATGTTAGTCCCTCACACATTTCCATTTCTCAGATCTATAGAACTACATCATTGCTTTTGGATGGAAAATGGATTTTATAACCGTTATAACAATTATGTTAGTCCCTCACACATTTCCATTTCTCAGATCTATAGAACTACATCATTGCTTTTGGATGGAAAATGGATTTTATAACCGTTATAACAATTATGTTAGTCCCTCACACATTTCCATTTCTCAGATCTATAGAACTACATCATTGCTTTTGGATGGAAAATGGATTTTCGAGAAAGTGATCAACAATATGAAAATATTTTGTTGGGTAAAAACTGGTATTTGTGAGTCATGTAAATTCATTGGTCATAAAGTGTATATGGTGATGAACACAGTTACTAAATCTTCTGGAATTATGAAATCTAGTTGTTTTAATTAGTTATACAATATATTAGTTATAACTAGTTGTAACTACATTATATATATATATACATATTATTGAAGTATTTTAATATAATAATAATGATTCATTACATTTATATAGCGCTTTTCTAGGCACTCAAACTGCTTTATCTCCTCATGAGTATCTCCTCATCCACCACCAGTGTGCAGCATCCACCTGGATGATGTGACGGCAGCCATAGTGCACCAGAACACCCACCACACACCACACACCAGCTTATTGGTGGAGAGGAGACAGAGTGATGAAGCCAATCAGCAGATATGGGGATTGTTAGGAGGCCATGATGATCAGAGGCCAATGGGCAAGTTTGGCCAGGATGCCGAGGTCACACCTCTACTCTTTTCAAAAGACATCCTGGGATTTTTAATGACCTCAGAGAGTCAGGACCTCGGTTTAACGTCTCATCCGAAGGACTGTGCTTGTTGACAGTATAGTGTCCCCGTCACTATACTGGGGCATTAGGATCCACACAGACCACAGGGTGAGCACCCCCTGCTGGCCTCACTAACGCCTCTTCCAGCAGCAACCTAGTTTTCCCAGGAGGTCTCCCATCCAGGCACTGACCAGGCTCAGCCCTGCTTAGCTTCAGTGGGTAACCATTCTTGGGCTACAGGGTGATATGGCTGCCGGTATCTTATAGTGACAGTAGTTTGTGTGCATAAAAACTTATTTGTTATTGTAGCAGAAGTATCAGATAATTTCTTTGTCACTTTGTCAATATGAAATTTGGAGTCAAAACCAGTGCACTACATGCTAATTTTGAAAATATATAATATAATAATAATAATAATAATAATAATAAATAAATAAATAAAGTAATAATAATAATAATATTTTAATTGATTAATTTAAATAGTTTATTAATTACGGTATAAAACAATGGTATGATAAATTATTATTATTATTATTATTTTCTTTCTGTTCCATGAAAAAATGTTTTACTGGTTTTCCCTGGGACAGCTTAGCCCGTTTAGTGTGACCTCCTGCCCCCAAAGGTCAACGTGTGTTTAATTGACTGCATGTCTTGCAGTCAGTACACGGTATGTGTTTATACAGAAAATTATTTTACAAAAATAAACTCACTATGAGAAATACTCACTGGAGTATAACGTGTGACAACTTGCCCCGGTCTTGTCTGTAATATGCGCTGCTTGTGTGGAATCAAACACTAGGTGGCGCTGAAGTTCCGTGTAAAATACAGTCTGTGGTTGCGACAGAACAGCTTTAGGCTGTTTTGAATTGCATTACTTGAGTTTAGTTTATTCATTCGTTTAAAACAAACATAATGTGTGCATCTTTTTGTATTTAATTCAGTATATTAGCTTGCAGTTCAGTGATGCAACTTCTATACTAGTACTAAAAACAGAACTGTGTTGCTTTACATTAAAACAATGAAATCGATACCATAACAATTTTATCATAATGTATTTTAATGTTTGAATGTTGAATGTTTGAAGCAATGAGCCTCAACTATATCATTTCTGTCTCTGCTTCTGTCTGATCTATGATAAAAAGGACTCCATGTGCAATATAAATGAGTTTAAGAGTGTGTTGAGAAGAATGCTGCAATGCTGAGAGGAGACAGAGATAGAGAGCAAAATCCACAACTTTCTGTAAATGCGACTCTCCTTTTTTGACAAAAGTTTTAATAACAGTTTTATAAGAAACTCCTCTGATATTGGATCCAATCCATATATCCGTATATTTTGGCGTAGCATTTGGATATTACCATTTAAATATATTATTTCTAATAATAAAGTAATAGAAGTACTTTACAAAATGATTCACAGATGTGATCCTGTAAATGCAGCTGATATATTCACAGTGTTTGTGATTAATGTACTTTTTGTTACATATCAGTTAAAATATATTAAACATTAATTTTTCTATTGCCCTTTTTTCATTTTGGATTGACTTTAAAATCGCCCACATAAAAAAATTAAACAAAGCCCTTCATTTAGAAACCTCGAGATATTTTACTTAAACAATAAAACACAATTACACTGTTAATCTGTTAATTAATTTAGCAAAGTTTTATATTTATAAGTCAAAAATAATTCAAAAGAAAGTGGTCTTAAAATATGTTTTGAAACCCTTTCTAAAATGAGATCACAAAATAAGAAGCACATAAAAACAATAAAAATTCTAAAGCTTTTCAAATTTATGTAACTGCCCTAATATTATATAGCACTTTTTATGCTATTTTTATAGGCCTATATGATTATGTATTTTTTATTATTATTGTTGTTGTTATTCTGTTTTACATGCTTTAAACTTTGCCTTGCACTTGTTTGTGATGGAACTAAATACAAAATAAAAAGGGTCAGCGTGTTTTAAGCAAAGTTTTATATTCATAAATCAAAAATAATTCAAAAGAAACCATCATATATTACCTTTTGCAACACTAATCTGAGATTAGAACCTGTTTATGTACATTTCATGTTGTTGTTGTTATTGTTATTCTGTTTTACATGCTTTAAACTGTACAGCATTGCTTTAGATTTGCCTTGTAGGCTACTTGTATGTGATGGAACTAAAACAAAAGATACTGAGAGAGAGAGAGAGAGAGACAGAGAGAGAGAGAGAGAGAGAGAGAGAGAGGCGGGGTCAGTGTGTTTAAAGCAAAGTTTTATATTCATAAGTCAAAACCATCATATATTACCTTTTGCAACACGAATCTGAGATTAGAACCCGTTCTATTATGAGATCACAAAATAAGAAGCTTATAAAAACAATGAAAATTCTAAAACTTTTCAAATTTATGTGACTGCCCTAATTTTATACAGCACTTTTTTATCCTAGAATTTTATTATTTTTTTTATGTTTATGTACATTTCATGTTGTTGTTGTTATTGTTACTGAGAGAGAGAGAGAGAGAGAGAGAGAGAGAGAGAGAGAGAGAGAGAGAGAGAGAGAGAGAGAGAGAGAGAGAGAGAGAGAGAGAGAGAGAGAGAGAGAGAGAGAGTAATTAATAATAATTAATATTTAGAATAATTCTTAATATTATTGTTATTATATTATTATTATTATGTTTTAATCTTTTTGTACATGTGTACTAAGCTTTGGCAATATTGTATCATAATGTACCAATAAAGCAATTTTGAATTTTAATTTGAATTTGATAGAGAGAGAGAGAGAGAGCGAGAGCGAGAGAGGGGCGGGGCCAGTGTGTCTCAGCTGTGGGTGTGTAACTTAACACAGTCTCCGTTCCTCAGAATCAACTACTCGCATTAAAACTGGCCATGACTGCAGCTAGCTAGTCTCTGTCATAATGTACCAATAAAGCAATTTTGAATTTGAATTTGAATTTGATAGAGAGAGAGAGAGAGAGAGCGAGAGCGAGAGCGAGAGCGAGAGCGAGAGAGGGGCGGGGCCAGTGTGTCTCAGCTGTGGGTGTGTAACTTAACACAGTCTCCGTTCCTCAGAATCAACTACTCGCATTAAAACTGGCCATGACTGCAGCTAGCTAGTCTCTGTCATCATAACTAAACATATCGCCTCCTTTGAACCAAGGACTGCTGGAATTATTCGGTTGGCTGTCGTTTATCGTCTGGTTTGACCCGGTAAGTGCGGGTGCTTTCGATGGAGCGACTTTAGCGGATGCTAGCAGTCGCGTTAGCCAGCTGAGGGATCGTCTCACAGCCATTCATCCTGTATTTTTGCATCAAGTTATCGATTTCCGCTTTATTTTGTTGTGGTATGATGTTTGTATTTCACACTTTACATACTAAGTTAATTTGTGCCTTCATGTAATGAGGATAAAATGCGTGTATAGTGGTTTTAACGCAGTTTTGTGCCTTGACAGCAGGAGTAGATGTTGACAGTGCTAAGCTACGAGGCTAACAGGAGAGCGCAGAAAGACGGTCGGTTTTATAATAGTGAGCAGTGTTGGGGAAAGTTACTTTTAAAAGTAATGCATTACAATATTGCGTTACTCCATAAAAAATGTAACGAATTACGGTACGTAGTTACTTTTAATGGAAAGTAATGCGTTACGTTACTTTTGCGTTACTTTTTAAATCTGGACAGGGCTTGCTTGTTTGTTTTTAAAATAAAAAAAGTTCTATTTTTGGCAAATATAAAAGCCTTTTCACACCAAAAGTGAAATGAATAAGCCTCAGGCTGAAGGTAAAGTAAATTTACGTCTGTACAGTAGAATGCAGAAGACATTTCAACACACTTCAGCAATAAACAAAGACACAAATGTTTGTCTAGAGTAATTTGTGCTTATTAGTGTTGAACTGGATCATCGAAGACTTTGGTTAATAGAATGGGATTAAATACATAAAGCATATTTGTGTTGTTTAACATTTAATTATTGCAGGTTTGCGTCATATTCTGAGTTGCATTATTTTTATTCATTTTGAGGAATACTGAATCTGTGTGTTGTTTGTTTTTGTGAGTGAGATGAATTAACGCATATTCATATTTATTTTAGAACTACAGTAACATCTTCTGATTTCTCTCAACATGGCGACAGGAGAGCTGTCAGTCAATAAATTGGAAAAAAAAAAAGTTACTTGCGTTACTTATTTGAAAAAGTAACTCAGATATTCTCTTGTAAATTAAAAAGTAATGCGTTACTTTACTAGTTACTTGAAAAAAGTAATCTGATTACGTAACTCGCGCTACTTGTAATGCGTTACCCCCAACACTGATAGTGAGAATCATAAATGCGGTTTGTTTTTGAGTGTTTGATGTACTTTGGTCACAAACAAAGATGCATAAGTTTTTAGTAGATTTCCTTGATTCGCGACTGTATTTGTATTCATTTTTCCTCTAGAAAGGGTAAGATGCTTCTGTAAGTCGAGTGAAATTGTTGAATGTCAGAACCACATCCTGTCTATAGAAATACATATTCATGCCTTATAGGTTGTGAGGTATTAAACATGTATTCTGAAATAAAACCCAGTGCTCTTAGTTCCTAAAATAGCTTCAGTTTCGTTTTGGGAAGTGAAACTTGAGTCCTGCATAACTTAGATCTGTTTCTGGAACAGCAGCTGAAGAGAGGATTGTGCCGTTTAATAATAGATGAATTATTTAAGTGATTTGACCTTGTTTTATTTTAATTGTATAAACAAATGATTTTTTTAATGCTAACATATAACTTTTGTATTTCATTACTTATTAAATATTTAGTTTTTTATTAACTTATTTTTAAATAATTAACTTAAGTTAATTATTCGTTTTTCTTTTACTCATTTTTGCACTGTACTGTTAGATGTATAATTGAATTATTTAGTCACTTGTTTACTTAATTGTTTTCTATTTCAAGAATATTTATTTCCTGTTAATGTATCCGGTTTATTATTTATCTGTTTATTTGAATCAATTTGTAGGCTATTCCAATCTTATTTTTAATTATTTAATAAATTTTTCTCTAAATATTTATACAGACCACCTAGCACTCCTTCAAAAACCCCTGGAATAGACTGTGTACATTGTGTAAGCACCTGCTGTTTGTCTTTGCTTGCCCTTCAGCACAAAGCTTTCAGTTGTGGTGCCTTTTTTTACTACATCAGAAAGTTCAAGGAAATTCATAAAATCCTGAAAAGGCCATGGAAATGTCTGCTTTTTGTAGTATATCCAGTAAATGTATCCAGCTTAGAAATGGCTCTTGTGAGTGTGAACACTATCTTGGATTTTTTTGAAAAACTTTTTCTAGTTATAACAAAAAACTGGAAAAGGCATGAGGATAATATAATAGAGAAGCCTTAGAAATCCTGTGATTAAAGACAATGCTAGATGGTGTCCTTGTTAGTCAAATACATTTTCCATGCGCATGTGAGTGATCGGAGTCAAAGTCATTGACTGTTGTCCCTCCTGTTGCTATATTGTTGTGATAGCCGCTTGATTTGTAGTCCAGCAGGGCCAAGCAAAACCAAACGCATCAGATCTCCCAACGAGCCACGGACAGAATGTCTGAAAGACTAGACAAACCCTTGCTTTCACACCAGCGTGAAACCAACGGGCTGCTCGTAGGCTTCGCAAAACAGAATAGTGGGCACTAGGATAACTTGTAGCCATCTTTGGGTTTTTAGCTGCTGTACACATGGATGTGGCGATAAGGCCTTTAAAACCTGCTGAACGTGTCTTGTTCAGATTACAGCTAAACCCAGCTGTCCTTGAGGAGATTTCAGCGCTGCTGCTTGGCTCTTTTCTATGCGACAGACTCTCTTTAGATTCATCCAAACGCCTGTCATGAAAACAGTTGGAGCACCATATGGGTTGTGAGCTAGATTACGGGTAACTGCTTTCATTTGTAACGCCGGTTCTCTGTTGTAATAAATGTGCTCTTATAGTTCACTGTGCAAAATAGCAGAATCATCATGCTTGAAATCAGATCTTGAACACTGAGCTGAGCGATTATTGCTGTGATGAGCACGGTCATGTGATGAGCTGCTTTGAGTTTTCAGATAGCAAAAGTGAAAGCTTTGAGTTTGCTTCCTGTTGGTTTTGAGAAGGATATGGCTTTATTCGGGGTGGCGTTCGAAACTGAAGAATCAGCTCATAGACCGAAGCGGGAAAAAAAATTCTGAGAGTGGATAAACCACAGAAACTGTCAGTCATCCTGAAGAAGCATTTGCATTTTGTAAATTGTATTTTTAGTGTATGTTGCATAATAATCATCCGCAGTGGTGTGCGCACCTCGTTTGTCTTTCTGGTCAGTTTCACTCAATATTTGCAAATGTAGACAAGAGAAAGCTTATTTAAATCGAAATACCATTGACGAACATTTGCTTTAAGCAAATCTATACAAAACCTTTTCTCTGTGTTTTTGTCAGCTCATGCTCCGGAAACTGGACGATAAAAATCCCACAGACTTACAATGAAGAAGGAACCAGAATATCATAGAGATGGGCTCTTCTGACTTTACTTGGGCAAACCACATAGTAAAGCTCTAGTACCAGCCACACAGAACACCCAAGCATTGTGTCAGCAATGGCAAGCAGCACTTACAGTTTATACTGGTGATTTTTAGTTTTGTTTTGGTAACTCATCTCCAGTAGGGGCTTTCACACAAACTTTCATACAACCTTTTCTGGAAAATTACTAGTAAATTAAGTTTGGAGATCATGTATGAACAAGACATTTTTGGAAATAATGCTAAATCAGCACTGTCAAATTGTCTGGGATAAAAGGTTAACAGCTAAAATGCATTCGGTGTGAATGCCTGTCACTCAGAAGTCAAAATATTTTGTCAGATTGGACATCCAGGCAAATGAAGAAAGCGGCACAGCGTTTAAAGATCATTTCACATTATTGACGTCACAAAGTTATTTTAGAGCTGATGTGCGCACGTTGTCTATTAAAGATGAAAGCCGCTGTATGTTTGAACAGCAGATACGATGTATTTAGAGTCCCTCTGCAGTAGGGCTGTCAAAAGGGCTGAAAAACTAAATTTGAATTTTGTACATAAATATTATCAAAATTAAAATTATATTCTAATTTAAAATGCATAATTTCAGTTAGGGTGAAGAAAAGCATTTGGCTTCTCTTCTGAGGCCACAAGAGGGCGCATCGAGCAAAATATGACTAATGTACGTTTATTCAAAGCGTAATATAACACGACTATCCGGGGAAAAAGTGCATAATGTTTAAAATAATGTTTATAAACCAATTATAATTAATTAAGTTGCTTAAACGACTATAAACAAAACAGCATCATGTATGTATGCGTAGTTTAATACAAAGGGCTGAACGCCAATCACACAGAGTACATTTTTTCATTTAAAAACATGAGATGCAGTGGGATGGGGAGAAAACCCCGCCATAAAGTCTCGATATGTTTTTTTCAAAGTTAAACTTGCATTAATTTTACATGGCTTTCTAAACATCCGGCTCCTTTGTGCGACATGCGAGTGCAACGGTGATAGATGTCCCTCTAGAAAATGCGCAAAATATGTGACCCTGGACCACAAAACCAATCTTAAGTCGCTTGGGTATCATATCCCCATATCACAGATCCGATACCAGTGAAGGAGAAAATTCACAGCAGTGGCGTTGCCTGATGAATCTGCGCATGGTTTATCCTTTAGCATATTAAAACACCAGATAGATATGTAAACAACATAAAACTTGATCTTCAGAAAAGTCAATTTGACTGTAGTTGACCAAGTTTGATGTGTGAAAGTGGCCACTGACTGCATTTGTTTCCTATAATTCTGCTCAATTTATGCTGTAGCTCTATGTCGCTTAGTCTTTTAGGTCACGAGCAAAGACAGACGTAGGTTTAATGAAGTTGTTGTCTTAATCTGCGCTCTTACCTCTGCTGCTCTTTCTCCGGGTCCCTTCAGAACATTGTCAGCAGCTGAATAGCTAAATTTGCAGTTTCTCTTGTTTCCATCTTAATGATGAGCGCTGCGTTCATTGTTGCCAGGGACCACCGCACTGCTAGACTGGCATTTTACTTCACGCGTCAACATCCAGTCGTTTAATATAAACCATTTGAAAATGTCCATTCTCTGTAGAGCTGGGTAGGAGACTCTTAAAGGTTTAGTTCACCCAAAAATGAAAATTAGCCCATAAATTACAACTGTTGGCGCAAGCTACATTAAAGTGATTATTAAGTTTTGAATATGGATATTTTTCTTACAAAAACGCATCGATATGCTACAGGAGGCCTTTGTTCACCCCCCGGAGCTGTGTGAGTAGGGATGTAACGATTCACTCAACTCACGATTCGATTTGATTCGATTCACGATTTTGATTTCACGATTCGATTCGATTCACGATTTTGATTTCACGATTCGATTCGATTCACTTTTTTTTTTTACAATGAGATTTATGACAAATTATAAATTAAATGTGTCCTTTTATTATTGCTTGGACAAAATACTGCACATTTTTTTGTGAAATTGAAATATAACACTATAATAATATAGCACTTGTAAATTATTGCTCTTTTGTTGGTTTTGATTGCTTCTATTGTCCTCATTTGTAAGTCGCTTTGGATAAAAGTGTTTGCTAAATACCAAAATTGAAATATAATGTAAATGTAACAAAACTAAATTGAAATTTTAAAACAAGCCCCAAATCAAATAAATAAGTGACACAAATAAAAGAAATCTCTTCATATAAACAAAATAAGTCTTTGTCTGTGCTCTTTCCATTTAAAATTAGAGGCAACTAAATTACATTACATTACAATCTAATAATTAAAATACCATCTAAACTTTTCTAAAGACAGTAAGTTCCCCTCAGACATACATTCATATAAACTCCTGCCCCTAATTGAATCGCGATTTGTTTAGCATCTCAACCAATTTGAATCGTCACATATTTAAATCGATTTTCGACCGGTTCACGGTTAATCATTAAATCATTACATTCAGGATTCGTCTGAAAAAAGAAAGTCATATACACCTAGGATGACTTGAGGGTGAGTAATTTATGGGCATTTTTGGGTGAACTAACCCTTTAATCAATAATATCAATGTCAAAGACAAAACTTGTGTGGCCTGCTGGTTATTTATGAATAATTCATATTTGCCCCGCTTTATCGCGAGTAGATTACATACAAAGTCAACGGAAAGACGAATTTGTGTCGGGCGACGCGAAATGTGCGACACGTTTGCCATGAACACTCGATATTCGCCTCAATCGCGTCTTCCGCGCAAGAAATAATAATTTCAACTCGAGCTGAAAATTCGCGTGACGCGTTCTCACGCAAGCCAATCAGCGAAGAGCTTCTTGACACGTCCAGTTGAATCAGACAATGGAAGAGAGCATTATTGTAGCCGTCTGTTATTATTTAGGTCTGGAGCATAGAAAACAATTAAAATCAGTTGTAGTGGTAGTTGTATTTTATTAGCATGGCTACAGAGATGCTGCTATCAGTAATAAAAATAATAGTAATATCAGTGTATATATACAGTAGTAAAATGTAGCACACATTAATGCAGGATCCTAACGTTACTCATCCTCCTCTGGATGGTGCTCTGAACCCAGACACATCGGCTTTTGGCTTTCCATCGTATTTGGGACTTTTTGACAACGGGTACAAAACAGCGATTGTGGTTATCTCCACCATGGTTGATCACGCTATGATTTTATTCGCGCGAGTGACACGGAAAGCATCCTGCGAGTAATCTAGAGCGAGTGACTGGGGTGAACACACCATTAGTCAGAGTGATTTTCTCGTAGTGTAAATGTTTGAGGTGAATTAATTGCATACAATTATGGAGGAGAAAAAAACAAAGTAGAGACATTTCAGTGTGCAGTGCTGCCTTTTGAGGCTTTTTGGTTTTACTACTAGTGCCATAAAGTATTATATCAGAATTTGAAGTATTGCATTCAGTCCAGTTCCACTGATTGCCTGTTTCTGGCAGTTACCTGATTACCAGATACAACCGACAATAAAGTGCTTTGCCTAAATTACAGGTAGAATGCTCAGATCTAGTTTTAACCTTGAGCTCCTCCTAATTGCTTATCTTTTTAAAGATGTCCCAAAGATACCCACAGTTATTAATTAATCATTGACGTTTGAGATTTGGCCTGTGTGCTGTGCTGTAATGGGCTGATAATCTCCTTGTTAGGTTATCTTCGGGACACTATTGTTCCAGGGAATGTTCTGGATTGTTTGCAGCCGCTCTCTGTGTATCTGTCGCATGCTTTTCTGTGACTGCATCTACAAACTTGCCAAGTAACCATAGTGAGACAAACATTGCAAACAGCATGTCACCAAGCAGATGCGGAGAGATTTGCCTGCAGAAAATTCCAGCATCGTTCCTTTATGTGTTCTCCAGAGCTCTGAGGAATGAGCCACGGTCATACAGTGCTCTCTGCTTACTGTCTCAGCGCTGAGCCGCTTTTAGCTTCTCCAACAATGGTGAACATAGTGAGTGAAAGGTCATCACGCGTGATATGTGGGATCAGAAGCATATCTACTCTCAATTGTCTGCAGACTTTAACATCTGCTGTTAGGGGTCAGTTCGTACATCGTTCCTATTCGTTTTCCGGACATTATGTTCCTGTTCCACATGGTGTCAGGCAGCTAGTCGTGCCTAAAGCGGTAAAGAGGTCTGTAATTTGGCACAGTGAAAATGCTCTCAACATCTTAAAAAGTAATTTGTGTAAATGATAGTACAGGTAAGGGAGTAGATCTATTGAACTGTAACACTGTGTATTATTTCAGAGAAAAGGTTCATCCTGGAAGACAGCTTTTTACCTAAAATAGAGGTGATTGCGGCACAGTACCATTCAAATTTTTGGGTAAAAAAAAAAAAGAAAACCGGACATTTGTGATGTTACAAAAGATTTCTATTCACAGTAAATACTGTTCTTTTGTAAATCACCGTTTTCACAAAAATATGAAGCAGCACGACCGTTTTCAACATTGATAATAATCAGAAATGTTTCTTGAGCAGCAATTCAGCATATTAGAATGATTTCTGAAGATCATGTGACACTGACGACTGGAGTAATGATGCTGAAAATACAGCTGTCGCATCACAGGAATAAATTACAATGTACAATATATTCAAATAGAAAGCAGTTATTCTAAGTTGTAATAATATTTCACAATATTACTGTTTTTACTGTATTTTTTTTGATAAAATAAATGCAGCAGGGTGAGTATAAGAGAATTCCTTCAGAAACATTTAAGGGTTAGTTCACCCAAAAATGAAAATTCTGTTATTTATTACTCACCCTCATGTCGTTCCAAACCCATAAGACCTTCGTTCATCTTCAGAACACAAATTAAGATATTTCTGATGAAATACGAGAGCTTTCTGATCCTTCAAGAAATTGTTCAATAAAGTTGTTATTGTTGTTTTCTTTCTGCATAAAAAGTATTCTCATAGCTTCATAACTTTACAGTTGAACCCCTGATGTCACATGGACTATTGTAACGATGTCCTTACTACGTTTCTGGGCCTTGAATGTAGTATTCCCTTGCTGTCTATGCAGGGTCAGAAAGCTCTCGGATTTCATCAAAAATATGGAAAACTATTTAAAATTGTAAAAATATTTCACAATATTACAGTTTTTACTTTGCCAAATAAATGCAACTTTATTGAGCAAAAGAGATACATTTTTAAAAACAAAATTCTTAAATAAATAAATTCTTACCGCCCCCAAACTTAGGAAGGTTGTGTAATTAAATATGATGTGATTTCATATTAATTGTGTTTAATATGACTTCAAAACCCCCCAAAGTCTTTAGTCTCAAATATGCAGCAAGGTTGTGTTACACATGAGTATTTAGGATCAAAAAAGAATTTGATTAAGGTTAAATTGACAAATAGTAAACTTGCACAGTTGCTACATAAATG